CCTTATGAATGAAAGTAGTCTGGTTTCAAACGAAAGAAGACGAATCAAAGGAATCAGCATTCGACGAACGAGAACCAAAGTGTCAAAGTCAGCAATTAGCGCCTGAACAGATGAGAGCATCGGCAACGAACACAGCGGATGGGGTTGTCCGTATCTTTACAACCAGCAGTCACGTATCACTCCTGCATTTTCATCCCCCTTAGAACTCACGCTCAATAAAAATTTAACACCAATGCATATGACAAGTGTGAGAACAGATTATCACATCTGCACACAGGTGCATTGCATTTACTCATAACACATAAGGAGATTCAACCGTCGGCAGACATTTTGCCATAGTATCAGTGATAGAAGTGTGGTTTGATGAATCGATCTTTGATGGATTTATCAAGCCACGCTGCTACCAATTCCTACCTTTCAACTTGTAATACCACTTTCTTTAGGGTTCATGAATCACCTTCCATGCAAAGAATTTCCAGGCTCCTTTAAAACCCATACTTTTTAGCTTAGAGTGTTATTGAGTGAATGTGAATGGGACAGGAACTTGGCATGCGATCAGGTAAGGAAACAAACCCCGTTTTTCAAGCCTAGCATTTGATCAGGCCATGAATTAGACCCATATTCAAGGGCATAGTAGCAGAAAACCTTGAGATGCAGTGCTACACAATTCAGCTGGAAAAGCTTTCCCAAGATATTGATGCAACCAGATGAACGCATAGAGGCAACAGAATGTGCCGAACAAGTGGTATGGCAGTGTTGGCCAACGAAACACATGGCACCTAGCAGGAACAAGATATTGCCAGTCCAGAGACCCCCTGACTTTGCACGAAGCCAAAAATAAATGCGTCTGCACACAATGACATCCCATTTGATTAATGGGCTATTTGCGTGATAAAAAGGTCAGCGCTGATTTTGAGCACAGAAATGTGGACACGTCTTGTTCAACACATACTGGAGTCCTACAATCTTCAGTGAAGGGATGACAGATGAGCAGGGCTATATCGCAGAATATAAATGCCACTCTCGCATAAATTTTGACATTAAAACTCGGCCAGATGATGGCCCATTTCGCATTTAATGTCTGTGCCCGTGAAGGCAGCAGCATGAGCACGTTTGATAAAAATTCGATTGAGTTACTCTCATCTTATGCAGTGCAGAAAGTGTTATTGTACAAGTTAGAGTAACATTAAATCTCAGTCACATTTTACAGATATTGGCACATGAAACATTCTCATGAAATGAAATTCTATATGTCACATTTAGCATTGCGTGTACAGCTGGCTATGAAAGTTTTTAGACTACCACCAGTGCATACATAAAGACGCAGTTGCTTTATTGAAGCAAACACTATTTTAAGCATTTTGCACTATGCTGATTCAACACCCCATTTTGAACACATTTCAATACGTGTGCAAATGACATCATAAATCGCTGGTTGTTATAGCTCAAAATTGTGTACGCATTTCTTTCTTTACACGGGTGGCTTTGCCAAACACAGTCGATTGTCGAGCCAGCATCCCAGAATGCTGAATATCCCTGGCTTCTTGCACAATAGAAAGCAGTTATAAGATTGCACAAATTGTCAGTGATGAGCACTTACGAAGCACGTGACAGGAAAAGATGAGTGCCAATCTATTTACAGGAATAACATTCAGCTTGGTTGTCTTATGTTGAATCCCAAAGGCAGTCAGAGCAGCCAATGGACTCTCTGAATGAGCACTCGGATCTGGCCGAGAGCAATCCCTCCGAATCTGGGAATGGAACACAACCCGCGCCGCTGGAGCAAGCATGGAAGCACGAAGGAAGCAGAAGTTTTTGAGTTTCCCAGAATACCATGCGTGTAGGTATTCCATTCTGCTGTCAAATTCTGTTGAATTGCCGCTCTTATGTAGCCGTTTTAGTTTGGGTGACACGACCCGACGAACTGCTTGTGCAGAAACTGGAGCTTTCCCACTCGGCAGCTGTCACAAAACACGCGATAGCGGTACCAAGTGGGCGAACACGTTAAATAGAGCGTGTCACGCCGAGTTCCAATCCACTCCGCGGATTTCGGCGGATCAACATTTCCTGCTCCTCGGAGCTTCTCCCGCTCAGAATCCACTCCTGACTTCTTATTGGAACACTGGACTCCTACCCTCACTCTGCCATTGGAATACACTTGTTCCAAAAGGTGCAAAAAAACTTGCTCAGACTCCACAATTGGAATTCAACATTAAATGGCTAAAAACGAAGAGTGATGAACAACTTATCAAAACAAGAACTGATCACAAAAGGTCATATGCATTGTTCTCAGCATCTTGTCGTCACGAAAGGAAGACGATAGCGTCTAACCAAGTGCGACGCTATCAAGTGCAACGACTACGTTGCAATTGATCAGCCGCCCACTACCATGCCAGAATGTGAGTCAATGCCAGAATGTGAGTCAATGAATTACATAAGAAATATGCTGAATCAAAAAAAAAAAAGAAAACAGCAAATGCTTACTCGCAGAGAGCATGCTGGTGATTGGAGCTCGTGGATAGGTCAGCTCATAACCATCAAACAGTAAACAGAGGTGACTGGAATGAAGTCGCGTGTGAATAGAACGAAAGCTTAGCATCAAGAGCCTCAAATACTTTTGCAATGACGTCGGTATGACTGCTTGATAGAGTGGAATGTTTCATGAGCCATAGGTGTTCAGCCGTCACGTCAGTTAAAACAATGTAAACTGCCAGATGGCAAACAATGCAGCGTCAAGACAGCAATGCGTAGAAACGAAGTCGGTGCATACAAACAAAACAATATTATTGCGTTAACAGCCAAAAACGCTTTTGCAATGGCAATGTCATCAAAGCCATTCAACATGACGGCAAGTTTCCCAACAGAGGGCGCTGCAGGTGCTGCAAAGGCCTGCAGCGAAGAATCGGAACAATGTACATGCTGTGGAGGAGCTAAGAAAATGATGGAACATGTTTTGATTGGATGTGGTGATATCCACCGAGGTATACGTGTCGGTACAAGCCCACACGAGGCTTCGGTGTTAGAGACAACCCTAGAAAGCTGAACATGTTTGCGATGAAAGCAATTAGGAGATGGTTAGAGTATTGGTGGCAAAAAAGTAGAGATAAAGGACAGAAATAGTGGGGAAAATGAGGTCATTTTGTCTGAAGAGGCAGAGAGATGGACCATGAATTGATATTTTTCTTTGTTATAACAAGATTGATTTAATCAAATTAATAAGGCATTAAGCCAATATAAAAAGAAAGTTTTCTTTTCCTTTTTTTCTTGCAGTCCTGGTGGCACACGTCACTACCCCGTTATAAAGGGGGCACTCATAGCATCTATCCATCTATCCAGGCCGTAAACTATGGCGTACTGTGTGTAGGACGACGATCATGCATGTGAGCGTGCGTTACGAGGTGCAACGTGTACAGATGTGACACGTAGCAGTTCTTAACAATGACGCTCTCTTCTTGAAGGCTTGACAATAGCATGCTACTCTGTCTCCTGTTGTAGAACGCTGCAGCAGCACTGCACAAGTTGCTGCGTTTGTTCGTACGAGAGCGTTTTTTTTTTTTCTTCGCCTAAGCACAGTAACCGCAGCTGCTTTGCACACGTTATTACAATCAACAACGCAATTACGACAAACTTCGGCAACTCCAGCAGGTGCATCTCACGTGTCACGTTATGGCAAGTAAAGGCACTTATTTAAAAAAGAAACACGCTTGTGATGTATGTTTCTACAAACAAAGCTATAGGTGTTGGTACACCTACAGAGAAAAGAGATGAAAAAATCGCAAGCGCGTATGTGTACGTAAAACACACACGAGATAATTCTGCAGACATTTTGATGTCAGTTGGATGTAAGTACAGGGACACTTTAGCGGTGCCTGAGGACCACGTTCGGCATCCCAAGTTGCTCGGCTGGTCTCGACTATGCGCGACTTGGATCGAAACTTTAGCAATAATGACTGGCTCTCTTGGGTGAACGAAGAAAATCCCAATCATAAGTTCAATCCGGAACGGGCCCGATCGCGATTAAAAGTGACCGTGAGACTGTCAGGTTGCGAAGAACCAGACGATGCAGCGCCTCTCCATAGGTGAGATTCCCTCCACGAGACAATCGCCGATCATGGAGGCGGCGGGCATGCGTAATCGGTCGCGAGAGTCTGCGAGTGCACATCGGGAAATGAAAAGGAAAATATGCAAACGCCGCGCGTTGCGGCGAGCCGCGATCATCTGAGAGTAAAAACCACCGCTCCTTCTTCTTTTCCGCATTGCGCTTCCGTGTTTACACCAGCGGCGCCGCTGCTTGCATTTCACTTTCGCTCGGTCAGCAGATGTTGACAACGCGAGAAAAAAAAAAAAAAAAAACGCTTCCTGAAAACGTCGACGAGGCGTTTCGCCCACAGACATAACATGTACATCTCTGACGTGCACACAAGATGCACCAAGTGATCGCCGATGCCGACCAGTTTGGACAACGTGCTCGTGCAGCACGCGACGACTACTGCCGACGTAATCACGTCGGGCCAACGGCTAAGCGCAAAACGAAACGCAGTGGTTTTTTCGTCTCAAAGATAGCCCAGTCCCGCCACCAGATAAACCAGACCACAAAACGTCGTTAAGATTACGGCGTCGACTACAGCGGTTTCCATCTACGGCTGCGGTGTGCAGACGGTTGGCACGTTGACGGAGCCTCAGGCAAGAAACCGAAGCCGCTCATGTTCAAAAAAACCGGCGAGATATACGAAAGTGCCAAAAAAAAATAGAAAACCCGGAACGGCATATTTCAAAAATAAACACTTCTCACGCTCGTTACAGAGTGATTTTTCCGACGCATTCTGTGGAAAGCGACTCGTGATGCCGTACGAGCTGCACGATCATGTGCGTTTGGACACCTCGCGCTAGAGAAACAAAATAAGGCTTAGCGCAGATCTCGGCGGGGGGGGGGAGAGGCTTGGGCAGGAGCGAGCGTGTCCGCTCTCCGTGCACGGAGTGTTTCTCGCGGACGGGCTTACTTTTGAGGGCTCCCGCTGCTTTTGCTGCCGTCGAGGCTCGTCGTCGGCAAAGGTCAAGGGTGGCGAGGGCCGGCGACGGTAGCGGGCTTCTTCGTGCCGAGACGGGACGACCACGGCGGCGATCGCGGCGTAACCGCCGGAAGCGCACGGGCACCACCACCATCCATCCGCACCGGCGAAAGTCTCGCGAAACGCCACCAGCGCGGCTCGGCAAGCTGGGCCCAGTAACCCACATTCAACGGGCCGGCCCGTATACGCACGCACACACACACACGCGCGCGCACACACACACCGTAACACCGGATTGCTCGGCTCGCTCGCTTGCGGTGGTGGGATGCTCCTCCGGCAGCGGCGCTACGGCCGGCTACGGCACGCACGAAAGCCCCGGATGTTGGAGCGAGTACGCATGCGTGCGTCTCTTTTCGGGGTCCCTTTCGTTCGCGCATGCGTCAGCTGCGAGGAGGTGCTGAGCACATTCGGGTACAACCGGTATGGTGAACGTCGCTCCTAGGGATAAAAACAAAAGCAGCACGTGTTTCAAAATGCCCGTGGTGCCCAGACGTAGGGACGTATTCGAAAAGCGAGTGTGGTAAAAGCCCCAGACCGCGGATGGAGTCAGAAAAGGCACGCGTTCGATAGAAAACCGACTCCCTGCCGGGAGCGAAGATGCGATGTCAACAAGCTTTGAGTGTATGTCGCTTACGGCACGTTAAGATGTGCTATGAAACATTGCGGAGAAGGCTTGTTTCAAGTCATTTGAAACGTGTTAAGCTGAATGCAAAATGAGACCTTATGAAAGCCGCGCTGACCGATGCTTGCGCATTTTTACGACTTAGGTAACGTAGGCAAAATGGTATCAGGTCCGCTGTCCCAAACCTTTATTTCGGCCCGTCGGTGTAGACAACCGCGTGATTTCCTTTTCGTGGTCGGGGACCATTGCAGCAACAGCGGTCGTCACCGCTAAATAATTAGCTAAACTGTGATTGGCGTATAGTCTTGGAAACAATTTCAGTGCACTTGCCCAATCCCGGCGATTGTCTTCATTGTAAGTGCCGGTTGATGAAGAAAATTCGTGTCTAGCAGACGCATTTCAATCCAAACAGGTAGGCGTAGCCATCTGGTAGTCGTTTCAGAAACTATAGTGAACCTCCAAGATGCGCAAAGGCAAATGCATTCCAAACACATTTTCGCTCATTTATGGCAGTTGATTTTTTACCGCGTCTTATGAGTAACAGAGTGTTTTCTTCCTGGAGTCATGAAGCAAGTTCTTTCTTCCATTTCTCCGCTATCGCGATTTAAAGGCTGCGTCCCTGACTTGACAACAATATATGTTCACGTTCTGCAACAAAAATAAATCAGGGTTTTCGTGGATTAATTGCTCATTTATTTCATTAGCTCCTACACACACACACACACACACACACACACACACACACACACACACACATATATATATATATATATATATATATATATATATATATATATATATATATATATATATATATATATATATATATATATATATATATATATATATATATAAAAGAAACGAAGTGTGTACTTAAGGGCTCGTTTTTCCGTGTTTTGACACAATAATAAATGAGATCTAACAGACGATAATGCAAAGGAATGTATAGGGGAATTATTAGAACCAATGTACTGTGAATAAGAAGAAAAGTGGGTGAAAAAATAATTTGCCATGAGCAAGAATCGAGCATACGACCTACCTCCGAATGTCGTAGGGTCGATATATATATATATATATATATATATGTGTGTGTGTATGTGTGTGTGTGTGTGTGTGTGTGTGTGTGTGTGTGTGTGTGTGTGTGTGTGTGTGTGTGTGTGTGTGTGTGTGTGTGTGTGTGACAAACCCCGCGTGCCAAGCGCAGACGCGATTTGTGTTTCCGGCCCAATGACGTCATTTACAATTGTCACTTAAGTTGTCTAGTGCATTGGACGTCCATTAATGGGATATGACACAAATGTGTGAGAAAAGATGTATGTGTCGCATCCCATTTATATCCAATTGCACTAGACAACCGAAGCGACAATTGCAAATGACATCATTGGGCCGGAAAACATGTAAATCGCGTCTGCGCTTGGCACGTACGTGTGCTTTAATTCATACATCAAATTCATATTCACACAATGTACGTAATACACACTGACAGAGAGGAAAATGCTGCGCTTATTTGCTGCTCTATGGCAGCCGTTATGTGGATCGACACTGCCCACATGCGACAAGCCATGCTAGGCCACACCAGTCAGCGGAATGAAAATAGCATGACTGAACCGGCCAGCGGAACATATGTGCGCGCGCGTCTTCACCACCATTTCTATTCATGGCGAGGTACAAGGGGCCGATGGTCACAAATGGTGCATGTTCACAAAAGAATGCCGAACAAGACATACTCAAGAGCCACCACCAGTACATCGCGCACTCAATTGCATTCTTCAAGTGTGGCAGCTTGGGCTAGTTGGTATGGCATGACGATAGTTATAGCGCGAGAACAAAACGACGACACAGAGGCAAGAAGGACACGAAATACACGAGCGCTCGTGTCTTTCGTGCACTTCTTGTCTCTGTGTCGTCGTTTTGTTCTCGCGCTATAACTATCGTCATGCATTCTTCAGTAGCGAGGAACGATCCCATCAGCTTCAAAAACTACAAATGTGCCTGCATGCATTTCTATAAGTATTTCAGGAAAGTCAACTCGTTTGAGTTAAATTTCAGCCAAGTGGGACAAGCTTTCAAGCGAACACCTTCCTGCAGCTCAATCTGCAATAGCATGCTTACATAAGCTCCAAATGTCTCTACAAGTATATATACGTACATAAGTTGTCTGTTACTGCCGTTAAGATGTTATTCAATAAAAAGAGAGGCTCTTTAATGAGAAATAAACAGATACACACGGCAGTGTATTTGGCTTAATTTGCTGCTCCAAATGTATATGACTGTATTTAAAGAATGAGGAGATGTAATCATTTGTGAAAGGCATCCCATAAATGTCACTCAACAAGTATGGCCAATATGACCTGCTATTGCGCGGCAGCTGTATGGTGAAAGTGGGTGCAAATAAGCACACTGGCATATAGCACACTGTACCACGCATATATATTGACATATAACAATAAATTAGCAGCTATCAGATAAGTAGTCATGATGGTACGTACAACAACCTGACTATATGTTGTGCGCATTACTGTGAGTTTAGTGAAAATGCACAAGTTGGAAAGAAGGAATATGGACATAACACAAAAAAATTTTATTGGTTCTTCAAATACTGCATGTGCATAGTGGTGATGAAATAATAAATGAACAGTGTGCATAGAACCATTAGGTAAGAGCCAAGTAATTAGGACAGGGCTGACAATAATAAATATATTATAGCCAATCGAGTGTGCAAATGATAGTGAATTAGGATGGCCCAAGATAATTTACCATAAGATGGTCTTGTAATCAGCTTAACGATCATTTCCACGCCTCTTCCACGAACTGCACAATGATTCTCAGTGGGACTACCAACTGCTAACTGGAACAAGTTGCAACTGTAATCTACTAGCTGGTACCAGTTGCTAACTGAAACTAGTTGCAACTGCCATCAACTGGGACCATGTTAGTTCCCAACTGGGACCAGTTGCTAAGTGTAACCTGTTGCAACGGGAATCAACTGGGACAAATTAGTTCCCCACTGGTCCCAGCTGATACCAGTTGGACTCCCAGTTACACATTTTCACATACAAGTTTAAATTAATTATGACAAAACAGCACGGGCAGGATGCTTCTAGACAGAAAAAATAATGAGCTTACTGTGATTTTTACTTCAAGTTATACAGCGCATGACACCGAGGTAGACGCGATATGTCTACGAGTGAATAATTGGCCAGAGCAGAAAAACCAATAAATAATCAAGCAGCGGGGTCATACTTTATGCAAACTGCAACACTACAAGTATAAAACTACAAACATCCATATGAATTGCTCAACTAATGCAAGACTACACAAATACGGAACCAACAACAACAAAAAAAAAGACTGCATTAAGAATTGTCATAAAGGACATGTCCCAGACAACGCTCCGACAACCTGAGGTTGTCCTGAGGATGACCTACACCGTACGAAAGTATGACCTGAGGAAGCCCTCAAATGAACCTCAAGTGGTCCTAAACCAGTCCGTTTGTCCGGCCTCAGATCGTCCTCAGGGCATCCAGAAAAGAGCACATTATGATGAGTCTAGTACTTTTTGAGGACGAAGCATACAAGACCTAGGCACTCATCAGACCTTACGAAAAGTTGCTCTAATTCTTCTTTTGGAGCGCTGAAATGACAACTGATCAATCAAAAGTGCCTGAACATGCACACTCTTTAAAGCACTGCCTGTGAGGTTTCAGTAACAATTTCTTCAAGTATAGCAATAAAAACAGCAATGCACAGAAAACATGTTTATTTTCAGGAATGAAACTTGGCAGTTTTCACTAGATGAGACTTCTTGCCCTGTGCCTTCAGAGGTCTTCATCCGATGGGCTTGACAACGCGACACTTTGAAGACATTCTGTAGTAATAGAAAGCAGCATATCTTGAAGCACAAGTGAATTTAGAGTATCAATAAGAATATTAAGACAATAACAGCATGCCAGATTTGAAAGCATAAAATGAAAATTATATTACCATAATGTGCAGGTACGAACTAGCCATTATATAATGGTGAAAATGATTTATATAGTTCATGCTTGCATACACATCAAAATTCGAGTAAGGCAAGAAAATTATTTAAACTATAACAGCAAAAGTATCATATGTTATGATAGCTTCAACAGCACAGATAATAAAACTCACCCTCATGGTGAGTGCGAGAAGTTCTTAAGCGCTGCTTCTGGAGCTTTTCCCCAGCATGCCGAAGCCACACTTTAATCACACACTCGATGTCATTTTTTTTTGTTTCCGGAAAATTTCGCCTCACGGCCTCTGAAAAAGTACAAAGTTCATAAAACAGGAATTACACAAACATAATACATTAATATAATGCTACATAGGTTGTTTGAAGAAGTACCTCTAGTCAGCATGATCGACATTTTGATAGGTGGGCACATCATCATTAAAGGTCCTTGCCATCCTTCCCCATGTTAATTTCAAGAGTACTGACATTGACACTATGTGTTGCATTACAAGAAGAACACCACGAAGAAGACATCATTGTAACTTTTTTGAAACCTAGCATGCAAAGAATGATGAGGCGCCTTTGACGAAAATACGTCCATGTATGAAAATGTTGACCAGCTTGTCTTAGGTACTTATTCCTGTTTAGAGATCCTCAGTGATCACTATGAGCTTC